CTTGGTTTCCTCCCAAAACCGCCTGGGGAGAGAGGGACCAGCTGGGCTCAGGGAGGGGCGGGGCCGAATCCGCACCGAGGGCCTCGCTGGGCGCCGCTGACGCGCTGGCCCGCGCTGAGCCCCCTCCACCTCCTGTCGGCTCCCCAGACCCCCCTTCCTCAGGGCATTCGGGGTGCTGGGCGGTGGTTCCCTCCCGGGTGCTCCTGCGGGGGTCGCTGCAAGCAGGCGTGCGAACTCGCAGAGGACGAGGCGTGAAGACCCTGGCAGGGCCCCCTCCCCGCTCGACTGTGACACGCTGTTGCTCCAGCCATCGGCAGGTGCTTCCAGAACACGCTCTGTGCAGGGGCTCCGATGGGGACACCAAGGCTGACTTGGCCACAGCCAAAAGCCTTCAGGCCACCCTGAGGGACACGCCCCCAAACAGGCAGAGAGGAAAACGCAGTACGGGTGCTTTCTCTGCTCCCCGACACGGAGCGCGGCGCCCCCACCCTGACTGGCCTGCACTCTGCCGGGCACTCAGCCCCCAGGAAGCACAGGCCACGGGGACGGCTGATCCCTGGTGTCCAGCCCCTGCCAGCCACGGAGAAGGGCCACAGGCCGAGTGCCAGTCAGAGGCTGCAGATGCCAGATTCCGGGGCGGAATGTTCCAGCAAGGTGGCAACTGCTTGCCCCGGAGCAGTGGGCGGCCGAGAACATCCATGTCCCACTCAAGGGCGTGCACAAAGTCGCGGCAAAAGCCTGAACGTGTTTGGGCCAGAAAGCCACTGACCCCTGGTCCCCATCCTCGGGCCAGGAGGGGGCCACCTCCCAGGAATGCACTCTGCTGCTGAGTGTCCTTTGTCAGCCCAGCCTGGATACGGGGACACTGTCCTAATGAGGTGAACAGAGAAACAGGGGTTGCAGCCCAGTGTGTCCCTCTGCCTGTCCTGCTGAGGGAACGCGTCAGGACCTGAGGTCAGACAGAATGGTCCCCGAGCTCAGGGGGGACCATGCCCCATGCTGCGTGGACAGCGAGGTGCACAGGGCATGGCCTGCCCTCGGGGCCCCTGACCTTCCAGGACACAAGGGCACAGCCCTCCGTGCCTGTGCCTAGCAGAGTCGCTGTCCCCTCGGCGACCTATTGTGAGAGACTGGCCCGCAGGACCGACCTTCTCCAGGTTGGGAGAAAAGGGGCAGAAATAGCCCGTCCGAAGGTGCATGTGGGGGGCAGGCAAGTTCACTTGGGGGACGTCTCCAGAGCGGCTGAAACAGGTGTGAGCGGCCCCAGGTATCAGCTGGGGAGCAAGGTCATGTGGGTTATGGCGCCAAGGAGAGAAAACTCAAGTTCGCCCTCCGTGGCCCCCGAGACGGCTGGCGGCAGGTCTCCCCAGGGGGCCACGATCCTTCTTAGCTCTCAAAATCCCGAGGCCAGCACTGCCCCCTCCCCCGCACCACGGCAGACCTGCACCCCAGACCCCTTCGGAACCTCTCCTTCACCCTCACGCTGAATGCGGCCCAGAGGTCCACGTGCGGTCAGTGCCTGCCCACGGATGAAAACCACGGTCGCCGTGCAGCCACCACCGCTGGGGCCTGTTTGGGGTGACTGTGGAAGGACACCTAGGGCAGCCGGGGTCGGGGGGTGCAAGTGAAGGGCAGCCCGGGGCAGCAGAGGGACGGCAGACGGCGGATCGGGGAGAGCAGAGCGAGGGGCCTGCAGGACACAACGGCCTCAGGACCACGTGGCGGGCAGCAGACACCGATCACTGGAGCGCGGAAACCACAATCACAGTGCGTGTGACGGAGAGCAAATACCTCCCCTCCCCCGTCTGCCAGCGGGGCTCGGGCTGAGCCCCGAGGACACCCTGGGGTGGGGGAAGGCCATCGCAGACCCACGGGGAGGTTCCCCGAGCTTCCCAGGAAGGAGGATGCTTGGCAAAACCACGCAGTCCAGAGCTGCGCATTTTGATGCAAAAACCAATACCACGTTTCCTCACGAGCCAGTAAACAGCAGAACAACACGAAACCCGAATGCCCGCGCCTTCCCCGCTCTCGCTCCGGGGCCTTCCGACGCTCGGGTGGCACCGGGCACAGCGGACGATCTGGCTCAGCTCTGGAGCTGCGTGTGAATGGCCCGGAATGTCAGCCTGTGCGGACGCCTGGGCCAAGGCGGCTGTGCGCATGAACCCTCTCTGCACCCTTCCCCTGCGCAGGGTGATCTCTGCTCCCCGCGTGCCCCCTGCACCCCCAGAGCTCCCTGGGGGACTATCCCGCCCAGCACAGGGCTGGGGTCTATTTACACAGAGCGGCCACAAATGCTCATTTACCTCCTCAGGGGCTCTTTTCACTCAGGATGTATTTTTTTTTTTTAAATTTCAGAGCATAAACGGTTTAGGACAGAGAAGCTCCCAGCGCCCGCCTCTCGCAGCCCGGGGCCCACAGGAAGAGCGCCCGTCCTACCTTGTTGTAATACTGCACCCTCACCGAGTGCCAGCGCCCGTCACTCACGCCCCCGGGAACCTGCGGTGCCACCGCTGTCGTGGTCTCGCCTGCGGGGCGGGGGAGGTGCGGGGAGAAAGCAGAGGTTAGCGGACACGAGGCCACGAGCCCCTCTGCGGCCTGGAGCATGTCCTTGTCCCCCGGCCAGGCTCCGAGAGTGCTTGGCGCCCTCGCGCGTGCCACCCTGCGGCGAGTCCCCGGCCCCGGCCCTCTGAGCTGTCTTCCGTGTTTTCCGCACGCGACACACACCTTTGCGTGTCCCGGGTTTGCCCGGAGGACGGGTTCCCGGACGGGGACCCGGGCATGAGCCGTGAGCACACCCGAGGGTGCCGCGGGAGTCAGGGTGGTTTTAACCTGCCGAGCGCCTGCCAGGGAGCTGCTCTTCCCGCGAGGGGGCCCTACCTGCCGAGAAGGTGAGCTGCACCTGCTCGTCCACGATCTCCAGGGCGATGAAGTCGTGCTTCTCGTTGAAGCGGCCGTTGTAGAGCAGCAGGGCGTTCCTCTCCTGCGTGGCGAACCTGCGGCCAGGCGGCAGCGTGTCACACGCCGACTGACGTCCACGCAGGAGGCTCGCGGGCGGCCCCAGCGTGACACGGTCAGCCTGCGGGGGACAGGGCCTGGGCGCTCGGTTTTCTCCTTAGGAGCCAGCCGCCCATTAACCCCGACCAGCAAGGTTCTCTTCCGAAAGAGGCGAACGAGAGTCCATGGGAGAGTCTGCACACACACCTGTGCAACGTGAGGACGCCTGCAGAACATTCTGGAAGCACGACCCAGCCGCCGTGCCACTCAGAGATGTCTGGACAGACGCCGTGCAGGGCGCCTTCCACCGCGGGAAGGAGAGCCCACGTCCGGGACGCGGCGTCTCTCACACAGGGAGGCCGGTGCTGACGGCCACCTCGGGCCCCGGTCTCCAGCACCACGTTCCAGCCACTCTGCGACCTTCCGCCCCAAACGTGACACTCTTCCCTGCCCCGGGGCCTTTGCACCCGCTGCTGTCTCTGCTAGGAAGGCCTCGCCCAGCTCGCAGACCTCCCCACTGCGCTCCCCCTAACTCGCTTTGTCTAGATTGTGCCCCCCGCATCTGTCAATCACGTCACTCAGTGTACTTCTGAAACTATGTATGTATTTGTTTATGAGAACACGCGGGTTGGGAGCGAGACTCTCGTTCACTGCTGCATCCTAGAGCCCAAAATAGCGTCTGGCCCGCAAAAGCGCTCATGACGACGTGGCGGGCGAACGTGCGGAGGAAGACAGGGGTGTGAAAATGAAGACTCGTCAGACCTGACGAATTCGGAGTAAAACCCACTGACTCCGACAAGAGATGAGCATTCTCAGAAGTCCTTCTGCTGAGAGGAAGCCATTCCACCAGACCCGAGGGGCCCTGATGGAGGCCTTCACACACACACCGAGTCACCACGACGCCTGCCCGATGCCCCGGTTACAGAGACCCCGCCAGACCTCCTGAATGAAGCCGGGACCGCTTCCTGAGCCAGCTGCCTGTCGCTCTCAGCAGAGATTAAGCGGGAGAAATTCTTTGCTCGACTCAAGGCTGGTTTGTCTGTCTCGCTGCAGCAACAGGAGTCCAGCTGTCGGAACCAGGCTCAGGCACTTGGCCTCGGCCTTTTCCTGGAGCTACAGAAAATCAACGGTTCCTGTCCAGACCTCGAACCCCCTCTGTTTAGAACACAGAGCGGACCGATGACAAACTCGAAAGGAAAAACACCCTCGCAGCAAAGCAGGTGCTTTGGGTGTGGAGCGGTCAGGTAGAAAGGGGGCTGAATTAAGGCTGGAATCAACTCAACACCAGGCTCCAGACTCACTGGGTCACCCCAGTTCTCTGGCCGGTCTCATGGCCATCGGTTTCTCTTTGGACCGCAGTGGGAGCTGGTCCGTCGAATGGCCCCGCACCTGTCCACTGGTGAAGACAGAGCATGACGGAGGGGACCCAGGGACAGGGGAGGGGACCCAGGGACAGGGGAGGGGACCCAGGGACAGGGGAGGGGACCCAGGGACAGGGGAGGGTCCGAACAGTGCACATGGGAAGAGGCGAGGCCAGAAACAGAGCCGGGGCTCCGCGAGGGGCCTGGGGGCCGTGAGGGGAGAACAAAGGGTGGGCAGGGAGGAGGGGAGGAGCGGCGGCTGGGAACTCGAGCCGCAGGAGCTCGGCAAACAGAAACTGGAAAGAGCAGCAGCCTCGAAAGAAGCCGCCTGGAACAAAAGCCCCGTGGGGCCCGGCCCAGCTTTCCCACGGCGCACCCCGCAGGGGCCCGGTCCCCCCCAACCCCCCAAGCAACCACACCCCCCAGTGTGTAGCTGTTCTTCTGCCGAAGTTCCCTGATTTTGCTTCTGAGGTCGTTCCCTACAGAACCCCGATTCAGTGGTGGCCCTGATGTCTTAGCCGTCGTGAAATCACCCGTGAACTGCTGTCACACGTAACCAGCCAAAACGACTCTCTCTGCCGAGCAGGTGGACGTCACGTTATGCGATGTGGACGTTTAATGAAGCGCTGCACTCTCTAGTCTGAGTCTGAACCTGACGGCCTCCCCTTGTCTGTTTCCAGCAGGTCTGCCGGGGGCCCGCCCGCCTCCGGCACCAGGACTCCTGGTCACCTTCTAAGCCACCGTGCTGCCCGCTGGGTGCCTGGGGTGTTGGGACACAGAACAAAAAGCCGCTGAGGGGTTTCAGGCCAGCAGGGGACAGGCACGGACAGAGAGCTGGACCTCAGTGACGTGGTGACGATGAGAGGGCCCCGAATCTGGAGACACCAGCCAGGGGTCCCACGGGGCCATCTGAAGGTCTCCAAAGGGACGGGCATCTGCCTTGGAGACTTTAGCACAATGAAATGATCTGACAGCTGGACGGAAGTCGGGATCAGGAAATCGGGCACCCGTCCCCGCCCCGAGAGCTTGCGTGGAGGACCAACCTGGGTGACAGCAAGATTTCAGCCACGAGGTAGAAAACGTGCCAAGGATCCCAGCCCCCCTCAGGACCTTTAAGGGGCAGTCAGGGCGAATGGTGGCCTGAGGCCGCAAGCAGGGCCGGCAGAGGCTGAAGGCAGCAGACAAGCAGGCATCGCCCGGCCCGGCCCAGGTCAGGGGGCACACTGGAGGAAGCGGCAGGAGCGACAGAGGAAACAGCCTGTGCGAGACCGAGTGGGCGAGGACCACAAGGATGTGAGGGCGGCCGTGTCACGGGGTGCAAGGCCCCAGAGCCGCGGGGATCACCGGGGGTCAGGCGGCAGGGGGCCCGTGCATTTTAAGAAGCTTGGGGTTAACCCCAGGTGGCAGGCAGGCCCGGGGGGAGTGTGCACAGGGCTCAACCTCTCACGATGACAACAAAGAACAACAGTGCTATCACACCAGGTGTCACCAGGGAGAGAGCACGGTGGGAGGGACCGAGGGGCCGGGGGCTGGGGAGGAGAGAGGTAGCCAGCAGTGGAGACGTGAGGTTGAGGGACTCACAGGACCTGACCGTGAGGAGGGAGGAGGAGGAGGGAGGAGGGAGGAGCGAGGAGGAGGAGGAGGAGGAGGGCCTGCCACCTCGGGCCACTCTGCAGTCAGGGCCCGAGGGGTGGAGACCGGGTCTGCTGAGACGTCCACCTGGAGAGGTCAGCGAGCCCAAAGAGGCATTGCGATGCCCAGCCCTGCAGCACTGGCTCGGTGGTTCACACGGGCAGAGCTGTGGGGCACCCCTGCCTGAGTCTCCTCGGCCGGCCCTGAGCTCCGTCTGCATCATCAGGGGCTCCCCCCTCAGCATGGACGTCGAGGGCCCCTCCTGCTCGATTTTAAGACTCTTAGGGCCATTTCTCGAGGCATTTCACCTCTGCTACCCAGAGCACCCCTCGTACGGCAGCTGCTGGTGCAAAGTGAGTGTGTGCCAGCCCCACAGCGCTCCACACAGCCGCAGATGCTCCGTGTGGCCCTCAGTGTGGCCCAAGCCTGTGACAGGAGGCCCTGTACTCCCCCAAGGGGCCCCCTAGACACTGGCACATCCACGCGAATATAACACTTGGCAGAAATCTTTGAGATGGAAATGACAGGTTTAAAAAAAATTAAATCTAAAAAAAAAATGCGAAACTATAGTAAGGCCCGCAGTACATAGTAAGCCTGCGTCCTCGTGGGACAGGTTAGGGAACCAGGGCTGAACGGGGTCCGGCAGCCCCTCCCTTGGCTACCCAGCCTGCAGGTGGCAGAGCAGGAGCCTGAGCTGAGTCCGCTTGATTCCAAGCCTGCTGGTCCCTGTCCCCTCCACCTCGGGCCCCGTGCTGGCCAGTGAGCAGGACCAGACAGCCAGAGCCGTTCACCACATGTGGCCTGGACGGTCACACAGGACCCCACGCCTGGGTTAAGGCTCCGCTGGTCCCGACTTGAAATTCTCTGTTTTGGAAAAAGGGGCCCCACACTCAGACTGCGCGGCCCTACACATCAGGTGGCCAGCCCCACCCCTCACCGGTCACCGGGAGGAGGACGCCTCCGTCATCATCTAGGGGGACGCGCCGTGACACGTCCCTGGTGCTCCGGCCACCGGCCCGCACGGACACGCGGGCACCGACTTACGTGAGGGACACGGTGAAGTGGAAACGCTGCCTCAGGCCTCGGAAGGTGACGAAGGACTGCGGCGGGAAGCTCCTGGCGGTCACCTCGCAGTAGGGCCTCTCGAACTCGCCGGGGGGGCACACGCAGCGGAAGCCGCCGACGAGCAGGTTCACGCAGGTGCCCCCGTTCCTGCACACGCCGTCGGCACAGCGGCCCGAGCGTGTGCTCACCTCACAGTGCTCTCCTGCGGGGCGAGGGCAGAGGCCAGGGGTCACACGGTGGGCCGAGGAGGTGGCCAGCCGGCCCCTGGGCCCGACGCGCGGCTACGAACCCCACCCCCGAAGCCCACGGCGACACCGGGGCCGAGGCGCGTGTTGGGGAGCACGGCCACGTGAGGCTGGCACGGTACGTGTGTTATTCTCATCGGGGGCCCCGGCTCCTGGGGGATGAGCTGAGGATGGAGGTCAGAGGGCCCCCCAAGACCTGCCAGGCGACCGAGTCACACCAGCCCCATCCCTGTCCCAGGCCTACCCCGGGGGCAGAGGGAACGTGGGGCCCTGAACCCTTCTCAGCATCCCATCCTGTTCTGAGCACCCCGCTGGCTGAGACTTCCCGAGAAACACCGAGAGTTGTGAGAGGGCCTCGTGGACCCTGCCCACACCTGTGCCCGCCGCGCATCAGAACCTTGACGGAGACTCTGGCGCGTGCCCGGATCAGCCGCACCCAGGGCCACCTCCTTGGCTGGCCTCCTGCAGCACCCGCCTCCCCACTGCCCCTCACGCAGACCCACCAGCCAGCCCGGCCGGCGCTGCATCCCAGCCTGCTCCCGATCACGTCCGTTTCTCCCATGGGCCTGTGCACTCACTGAAGGCCGGTGCCACTGTGCTCCAATGTCCCCACCAGAGCCCGGCCCCTCAATGACGGGAGGGTTCCGGAAGCTTCCCCAGAGAGACTGGTGAAGCAGCCCAAGCTGACCGCCTCTGCCCCCGGGGTCTGTCGGGCCCAGAGCATCTGTCGATTCTGAGCTGGCCGCCACGTCCGCCAGCAGCAGTCCAGCTGGGTGATCCCCACCCCCGCGGACGAGGATGACAGTCCCCAAGCTACACCCGGTGGACATCGCCGGCTCCCTCAAACACCTGCAGACCCTCGGGAGCTTCAAACAGCCGGAAATTCCCCAGCTCCCACTGACATTCTTTGAATTATTGATTTTTAAATGAATGCATTTTAAAACAGAAGCATTACATTCACACACTTAAAAACAACCCCACTGTACAATAAGCATGGCACAAATAGTAAAAGTTTCCAGCAGTTTCTTGAACATCCCCACAGGAAAACCACGTGGGCGGCCCGCCCCGGCAGCTGCCCAGCGGGCTCAGCGCTGCGTCTTGGAGACCCCGCCGGTCAGCACACAGCGGTCCTTTATAACGGCCGCATAGTATTCCTTTAGGGCACCCATCAAAATTTAAATCACTGGTGTTTCCTGTTCTTTTCTCGACAGGCGTGTAGGCTGCCTATGGTTCTCTTCTATTGCAAACAGCTTTTCGATATGCATCTTTGGTGCGTTTTAAGAACCTCTCTCTTGAGAAAACTCCTAATGACCCTGGATCTAAGGGCACACAAAATTCGCATTTTGATAGATATTTCCAAAGCGGCCTCCCCAACACCAGGTATGATTAACCTGGGAAATATTTTGCATCGCTGACAACGGAAACCCAAAAAGTATTTTATTCGCATTCACTTTTGATGAGGTTCAGCATCTTTGCACATTTTACTGGCAACATCTGTTTCCTTTCCTTGGACCCGCCCGATAATTCCTGTGCTCGTTTTTCCATCCGATTCTCGGTTTCACATGCGCGTTCACATCCATACCTGTGCTCGCACCCTTATGCACACCCACACTCGCACACGTGCACGCCCTCACACACACTCACTCACACGCT